AAAAAATATATACCGTTAGAAAATAACAACATTTTTTAAAATTTATATTAATACACACTTTATATATATGACTCCAAAAAATAGGTTAAAAACTATTGCAACTTGATAAAAAAAGGGTCGGAGCTCAGTTTGGAGAGACAAAATTGTATATAATTCGGGTGGAAAGGGGGAGAGGAGAATTACTGAAATTGTAGTTTAAAAATTTAACTTTTTGTTTGTAATTATTTTACAATTTATTTTTAATTTTTATTCGAATAAAAAGGCTTTAAAAACCTTACGATGATTTTTTTAAAAAATATATTACCAAATAAATACATATATACCATAATTTTTAAGGAAAAAATCGGTTTTGGAAATAGACTTATTTTCACAATTTTTTATTAATATTTAGTTTACAGTATTGAAGTAGATATGTAAGATTTCCTTCGCAAGGATAGTTTTATTTTTATTTTATTTAAACGTTCAATTATTGTTAATAACTTGTGATAGCAAACTTATACATGATATGAGCTGAAAAAAATATTTAAATTTTATACAATGTTTTTGCAAGATAAAATTAATACTAAACATCCACGAGATCCCATTCAATAATTTAAATCAAAGTTCAAATCAGTGGACTCATTGTTTTAAAATATCGGTGAAAATTGGTAGTGTTTTAAGCTATCAAACTTTAATATCGGACCAGACTTCTATTAAAAAAAATCATTACATACCTAAAAGTGGTATTCTAAAAAAAAAAACTCCTTTTTGAGAGAGATTGAAGTTAAAAAGTTACATTTCAATATTTTGTGTAAAACATTTTTCGAAAAAAGTCCTGACAGTAAAAGTTCTGAATTACTTTTTTAATAAACTTCTAGGTTTATTGCAAACATTTCATTTTTATTTATTTATTTTTTTTTTGTAAAGTAATGATAAATCAGATATAAACAATAATTGGGCTCAGGTTAGAGTTATAATTAGTGTTGCCCAAAATCGGTCTTGGTCTTGCAATTTACAAAACCAAGACCAAGGCCCCCAAACTGTTGCAAGATCAAGAACAAGACTATTAAAAAAAATAGGTTTTTTAAATAAAAATTAAGTCAAAATAGTTACTAATACTTGACAATCTCAGTGACTATATGTTAATATTTAGAATGACCTATATACTTTTGCATTTAAGTCCTCTAATTTTTCATTTGGGCTTAGTTAGGTTTCTCCTATCTAAAAAATTACTGTAATATCTTTATAGTAGTAAGCTAATAAGTAACTGCAAGACTGTTGCGATATTCTTGCTCAAGACCAAGACCATAACCAATACTGAGTTTGCAAGACCAAGACTCGTCTCGGTCTCGCATTTGGGCAACGCTGGTTATAATATATCTTCAATGAATCACAGGATTCTAATCTGTATTTTTTTTTTTTTTTTTTGAGTAATTCAAATAATTTTTTAGATTGACTTTTTGACAAAATCTACTGAGCCTTTAAATAAAACCTTTTTTTTAATACATTTTTTTTAAAATATTTACTTTAAAAGTAAAATAATAATCAAAATCTATGTACAATAAAAAAAATAACCTAAAGATATGTAAATTAAAAAACACAAAAACACGGTCATAGCTATATACAATATATACAATTAGGCAGGGAACCCCAAGCCAGGCTTCTCCCTCCAACTATAGAAGGAAAAGCAGGACTACAAGAGATCCCTGTACTAATCTCTCAACCGCGTCACTGGTGCTAAATTGATAATAAGAATATAAATATGTTTTTCTTTCTGAATTTCAAAAGTTTTGTCAAACCATAATATTTTATACTAAAGGAAGTTGTGAGGATAGCGACGAATTTCCTCTACTGAATACATAGCTCAATTCAAATTAATTCAAAGGATATTCGCCTGGACATTATTCTAGACGAAGCTCATCATTCAAGCAGTTTACGTCGGAAGAATAATTTGGAACTAAGCTCCCTAAAACGGTACATGTTTTAATTAAATGCCTGTTTGGCAAGAGCTCTAATCTGACCCACAGAGATAATCTGAAGGATCAGGAGGGCTTAAGATGCGGCCCGGACAGATAGTCCGCGAGTCGTAATAACCCAGGAATTAGGCGGCTTTGTTTTAACTGCCGCGACGCGAATTTCGTAGGCTACTAGCGAATCCTTGCTTTTAAATATGTCGTCTGATTTGCAAAAATATTACACAGCCGGTTTAAAAAAAAAAAAAACGTTTAAAGCATAAGTCATGAACAAGATCTTAAATTTTACAACAATACATCTATAGTCCAGTGAATCTTAGAAAAGTGGGTATAAAAGGAAAAATTTTTACTATGAGACATTGTTTGGACTAATAAGGAAGTAAACATACTAAGAGTCCCCACTCCTAAGTACTGGGCCAGTTATTAAATTAAAGCTCATAAAGTTTGCAATAAGATTGATTATATCTATATAAATAAAATAAATATTTTGTCTTTACATTGAATAGAATCAACCCGTTTAATGATATCTTTCCTTTCCATTCATTGCAGATACCAAATCCACTTTTAAAAATTTGTTTGTTTGTATGTCCGCATTGCAACGAAATTTTTTCAGGAGTAAGCTCAGCAATGGCTTATTTTAGAATTTTGAAAATTTGACATTATATTATAGGTTTACTTGACTTAAAACATAGGATTTAAATGAAAACAAAATATTGAATAGAACCAGAGTTATGAATTCTTATATAATTTGTCTAGAGATCCCGGTTAGGCAGTTACTTCGATTCTCATCCCAACCTACTCTACCGCTTGCCATATTTAACAGTTGTACTATTCAACTGATGGAAAAAATTATCACAACTCAACGAGAAAAATCCGAAATACCAAACATCCGTAACGCGTTGCCGCTTAAAACACACTCATTTTTCAACTTTGTCCGATCTTCCCGTTCAAGGTGTCATTCTATTAAACTTTCCGGAGCCTAATAAATGTTGTCGAATATATTGCCCAATGTTATGAAATTAACCCCTCCTCCATAATATAAAAAGATTCTCAAAATTTAACTATACTCCCGTCAAAGATGGGTACATCAGCTAGTACCTTATATATGGTGTCTTCAAGGAATATATAAGCCCTTATTCTTTCAAATTGTTTATTCTAGTTCCAACGACGTTTCGAGCTGATTAGCTCATTATCAAGTCATGAAAACACATTTTTTTTATTTACTAAAATGTATTTCTATAATATAATTTCATATAATAACTATTCGTAGTAAACCCAATACCAAAGATAACCATATTCCTTAAATGTTTGCCCATTTATTGATGCTAGTCCTCGTAAGTAACTACCTTCTCCGTTGAATATTTAAATTGACTGTACATTTGAACTCTTTAGGGTCCCTTTATGTCCCGATAAGAATTAACTAAATGATTGAACGAGATATAGCTCTGTCGATGTTTATTATTTTCCAATGTCATATCTAATTAAGAATTTATCTCATTTAATGTATGGACATAATGTTGGCCTATATTTTGATTATTTACCTTTCTGTAATATCTCGTTTACTTTTCAAAATATCCACCCTTAACTGTGGCTAACTTTGAAAAAAAAAATGCCTTTTTATAAAAATTTGTTTGTGGTTTGTTTATTTAAAAAAAAAAAATCTACCTCTACAACCCATGAAGGGTCTTGGGTTTAGTACTATTTAGGGAAAGTACTGTTTCTTGGTTTACGGTTAGGGAAGGAGGTGATTTGAACTAGATCACACTCAACCGCCAGGTTTTTCTCCTTGAATAATTATTTTAATTAAGGACACCCACTTTATAGAGGCTGGTTGTGCCTCAGGAGGGTCTACCTATCTAGGGTCGCCCCACGGCCAATGAACCAGAATAAATAATTTTTCTGCCATAAGCCGAGATTCGAACCTTTAGCATTGGAGGCTCAGTACCCTACCATTGAGCTACCCCACTCTCGATTTGTTTATTAAAATGTTTATAAAACAATGCCATGTTTATTGTTTTTTTCGGGTTTTCGTTTATATTAGAAAAACTATCCATGGCATCAAGGATGACCTACACAAAATTAAAGCTGATAAAATTTGCAATATGATTAATTATGTACATTTTTTGGCTATATCGCTTAGTTTCCGAAATATCCGTCCTCAACTATGAGGGAAAACAATTTTTTTATCACATTTTTTTACACTGTATTTGAATAGCTAACTCTTGATTGCTTCGTAGTACGATTAAGCCATAAAAAAAGAAAGTTCTTAATAATTTTTTTTTTCAAGAATATATACCATTAGTAGTTTACCTCCAACCGTTCAAAAATTAGATCAATATAATTTTAGATATCAATTCCGAGAATCCCTAGAAAAAAAATCATTTTTACAATATATGTTATTGTGTGTATGTTTATGTCATAAATGCATAGAGATTTATATGCATAGCGCATTAAAGCAGTGCAATAATAATGAATATTATAAAAATTAATGTTTTCTGCAAATTCTCGAAATTTACATGTAAAGTTATAATTGATCTAACTTTTGAACCGTTGGAAGATAAACTAGTAAGATAACATATATTCTTGAAGAAAATTTAATTATTTAAAACTTTCTTCCTCACGACTTAATCGTAGACAGAAGAAATCAGGAGTTACCTAGGCAAATGCAGTAAAAAATGGCAGAAACTACGGTTTGAGAATCGTTGAGAATCCTCCATCGCCACATATATAAAATCTTTGCCTTCACTTATTCGATAACTGTTCATAACACATTTGCAATAAACAAAAATTGTTCAATCTACTTCTGTTTTGTTTTGGTTTTTCAATATTTGAAATAACATCTGTTGACTGGATGTGTATGATGTATGATTTAGCAACACGAGGTGATGGAGGATCAGAGCAATATTATTGTAGTGCTATCATACACAACATAAGGAAAAAATATCCTTATTAAGAAACATACGATCTTATGAAATCTGCATTGTAACCCCTACGTCATATATTTACTAACCTCTTCGAACTACGAGTACTGCTCGTTAAGTCCCTTCCTTAAATTTCCTCCTCCAATCCTCTCCCCCTACTAACTCTCCAGAACCCAGTAAACACACCTCTGCATGTGACACAGATGTCGGCCCCAGAACCATCATTAGAGTGTCTTGTACGCCAACCAGTGTTTGTTTGGGGGACTCCTTAAAGATATTCAGAGTAATATCTCAAGCAAACCTTTAAAAGTTTATATTCTAGATGAATACATTATCCTGCGTTTAGATCGATTAAATCTTAAATCCTTTTTGAAGGAAGTTATTATACTGTTCTGCATATCATGGTCGATAAATATTCAGGACGAAGTCATTTTTCAAGGTTTTTATTAGTGCCGACGTTTCAACCCAAGAATGTGGGTCTTCATCAAGGCATGTTTCGAGCACTGAAGGTGTTCTTAAATATTTAGAGAATAAACACGCCCAGATGAAATGAAAAAATAATTTTATTCTGGCCTAAAGTCTCCTAAGAATAATAATAACATGGTCTAAATATTGGTTTGGTTCGACAGAATAAAAGGGGTCATTTGAATGTTAATTTCAATTCCTATGGCAATCATACATGAACAACAGTAGTAAACACATTAACACTATTACATTTTATATGGTTTACATCTATACAAAGAGAAAGTAAATAAATAAATAAAATTAAATGAAACTTGTAGATTAATCGTTAAGGAGCAGTTGTAATATCGAAATAGATAAGTATTACATAGCTACAGAAGTTTGAAAATCAAGTAGGTGGAGGAATAAAAGTTGTTTGAAGGAATTTAGATATGAGGACTGCCGTATAATGAATGGGTAAAGAATTCCAGAAAGAGGTGGCACAAATGACGAAGGATTTGCCGAAGGATGTAGTGTTATGAGAAGGGATATATAAATCAATATGTTGAGATCTGGTATGATGATCCACAAGCTTGGGTTGAAATGTAGGCACTAATAAAAATCTTAAAAATTAATTATTCCTATTTATCACACATTAAATACTTTTTTTTTTACTATATGACCAATTATATATACCTAATCCACCACTCTGTTTCCTTAGCACAATCCTTATCCAGTTCCAGTCATCCCTACAATCCTCCTCGAAGGTTGAAACGGCAGTGGCCTCGAGATCTTTTGTAAATATTTCATTGCAGTTCTGACACTAGCCAGCTTCTTGCTGGCAAGTCATGAGCGTCTGTGGCTGTAGTACTCCCTCTTATTCTCCACTGGACTCTAATGCCGGTGACGCGACTGTGAAAGAAGCGCTGGGATCTCTTAGAGCCTTGCCTTGTCCTCTACAGGTGGAGGAAAGGGCTGGACTCGGAGCTCCCTTGGCTGTTTATAAATATTGTAATTCAGTATGACAGTTAGTTATTTGTTCGTTTTTTCTATTTACTCTAATAATTTATTATCATTAATATTTATTTTATTTTATTTTTTCCTTATGAATTTTATGTATTATTTCACTACAATCTACATTTCTTATTTTTATTACAGTTTTGATCTTTGTTATATATATATATACATTATTATCTTTTATATGTCTGTTTTTAAGTATTACATTTTTTTTATTATATTGTAAATATGGTATAAATGCGCCTTACAGCTTTTATGCTCAGTATCCGTAAGTGTGGTAAAATGTGTAATATCTCAATAAGAAGATTTAGTTAGATAATTATATAGACTCCTAAAGAGAGAAACTCATATTTAATTGGGAAGACAAGACTTGAAATTATAGCTATGAAGGTTTCAGAAAATACAATTGGTTAGTTTAACTTTCAATAGACAAGAAAGAGAACTAAGCTAAGACAGAACCAGTGGAAACCATTAAAAAAAAGACGTATAAAGTGAAGAAACGACACTAAACGTTCAGACATACTTCTCTTCCCCTACTTTTTTTTACCCTACTTACTAGAACAAAAAAGAGGGTTATTTTCTAGGTCTTAAACCATTAATTAAAACCTATAGTGCCATTTTAGTTTTGAAATTTGAATGGGACCTTAAGAGTTATATAGTAATCCGAACATTTGGAAAGGTTGGGTCCTCACTAGGTAAGCTTATGCCATTTCGACATTTAATTTTTTTTTTTGTCTTATTATTTCACTATTTCACTCCTGTTAATTGTATAATATTTATATAATAATAATCTACGTTTAAATCCTTCCTATTCCAATTCCTGTCCGAAAAACAATCAGATACCCGCTAACCTTTTATGTAAAATTACATATTATTCATAATGGTGTAATTAGGTATAAGTCATCATTTAAATACTCAGACAATTTTTACTATCAGATACGTCTTATTTTTTCTCTTTTTTTTTACAGAAACACAGAGTTTATCTCTAAGAAAAATATAATGTATTTTTTATTTTTAAAAGTGTATATTTATGTTTTATTACTGTACATAGTTGCAAGTGTCTTGGAATGGTTTCATGTGTTTTTTATATAGATTTTTTTTATTTTGTGTATAGTATGTTTAATTAATGTTTCCTTTATTTATTTTTTTTTTCATTTTACTTTTTGTGTTTGTTTTTATTAATGCCAGTGATAATATTTTCATTTTGTACTTTTTTGTTATCCTAACGGGACTTGGTCTCAGAATAACATTATTTTCTATTCTGTTTTATTCTAATATGGACAATCAGAAAATCATATGACACTAGAGGAAGTAATGTCAGGAATGGGGAAAGACAGTTCCTTTATATTCATAGGTAAATCAGCTGTAGCGTCTTATAAAACTGTTGCTATGTCCGTTTAAATTTGTATAAAATGGTCGATAAAAGGTTGTAATAATATAAAATATTATGTAGGTCAACTATTAATAATTGTGAATGTTAGGTTTGTTCTGTAAAGGTGGTTTTGTTATGAATGTCAATCATTTTTATTGGAAGGTTTGAAGTTTTCCAGGTGATAACATATGAGTATGTCCGTATAGGCGTAAGTAAATATATGTATCTATTCAGTTTCTATCTATAAATATATGTATGTATTAAAACTGTTGCTATGTCCGTTTAAATTTGTATAAAATGGTCGATAAAAGGTTGTAATAATGTTGTTATGAATGTCAATCATTTTCATTGGAAGGTTTGAAGTTTTCCAAGTGATAAAATATGAGTATTTCCGTATAGGGGTAAGTAAATATTTGTATGTATTCAGTTTCTGTCTCAGTATCAGTTTTGAAGATAAATGTGGGTTAAGTAGTTTGTTAAGACTCTACCGTTTCATTTCTATTTATTTCTTATTATTATTACTAAAACTATTAATTATTTTAGAAAGAAGATAAAGTATGGTAATTTATTGGGATATTTAGTTTTTAATACGAAATTATTGGTAGGAAATGACAGTACCCTAAGGAATTTGTTTAATACTTTTTAAGAGAATGGCCTATGTATGTTCAGAATATTTATTTATTTTTTTAAATATAAGATTTATATTATAATAAATAATACATAACATTAGGTGGATTATTGAAGTAAAGTGGAGAATCCATGGTGGAGGAACAGAAGGGTGGGGAGAGCTGGCAATATAACAGGGATTTAGTTCTGAGCAATCAGCCATGGCCGTCACACAGGCCAACAATCAAAGCCTGGCTTCCAGACCTTTGATTGGTCCGTATTAATAGCCTGTCTTTGACATAATAGAACTATTTATAAATATATTTATTTATTTAATTATTTAGATCTTTTATTTAACAGTATGAATTTACCGCTTTTGTTCTCAAAGATACATTTATATATTAGCCAAGTTCCTAAACTCAAAGCTAATCCCATCAATTGAATCCACAAAGTCCAGCGAGTTTAGAAAATACTTGGCTTTTATTTTTAACTTTCAGCGGTTTCCTACGAATCCACTTTGAAAAATGTATAACTTGGAATACTCATACCAGAATGAAACAGCAGGAAATCTCTCGAAGTTTCCTTCTGCACTTACTATACAAAGGCTCTAAACTCCCAATTAATTACAAACAGATCATATACATTACTATAATAAGACCTATTTGGACTTACGGAGTTGAGCTATGGGGTTCCACTAAACCTTCGAATTCCTCTCGTATCCAATCCTTACAAACCAAAATCCTTCGTAAATCCTCAATACTCCCTAACTAAGCACCTTAGACAGAACTAAGTACTAAGTCAGATTTGGCAAAAACCAGATACCTATCCTTTCATAATAAACTTTAGAACTATCCCGACTCGCTCGTTTCTAGCCTTGCTTTCTCTTCAATTCATTACTTCTGACAAGTGTGGAATAAAGAAATAAAGTTTAAAAAAATATCACATATAAAATAGCATTTCTATATTAAATATACATCTTAAAAATTGATTGCATCAGTGTAAAATTCTTCTATCTATTAAAATTGTGTTTAATAGTTTTTTTAATTGAAAATACTTTATTATGGTACAAAGTCCCTTTAGAATAACAAAATAGTACACAATTAAAAGACTACATCTGGTCTAAATAAAACAATAAAAAAAAAAAATATATTAGTTAAACAAGCTATATACATAAAAACATAAATCTATACACAAAACCATGACAAGATACTTAAAACTCTGTAGAGTAGGAAAAATTATAATTATATACTTTTGAGAAAGAAAAAATTCATTTAGTTCTTCATTAAAATAAGCTCAGTGTTTCTGCTAACAAAGGAAAGATGTTTATGTCGTACTGTAACGATAATTCTGTTGAATTTATCTTTCTGACAATTTAGAGTTATAAAATATGTTTACAGTTGCGTCGTTGTTTCACAGAATAAGCGATATTATATTACAATAGAATCTTCAATAATGCGCACAATGTAGTAACCACGTTATTTTACCAACCCGTGGAAAATGGCTACCACATCTAAATGTTTGCTATCAATGAGTTTGCTATATTAATGCATAATTCTTATTATATAGAGCTGTTAACTAACTTCAAGTTAAAAGTATGGACCAATATAAACAAGCAATTATTTATTTTATACCCGATTATGATGGATATTGGTTGGATGAGAATATATTTTGGAGCTTGATAATCGATTTCTGGCTCCACACTGAGACCGATGAATGCAGAAAATGTTACCAAAGGTGGGACGACACCTGTAATAAATGACCAGGTAAGACCGACCGTGGACTCTGGCGTGGCAACCATTGGAGTGCATAATATCGGCCATTCATCACGGATCCCGCCCTGGCAATTGCTAATGCATATATCATCCGCGTCCTTTGGGGTCATATCCACCTCGATCCTCGTGTCAACTCTGCGAGCCTTCGGATTGTCGAAAATAACGTGGCGAATTATTGAATGTTTGAGAATCTTTTAAGTATTAACATGCACTTCGGATTAATTTTGAAAATACAAAAAAAAAAAAATAAACAAACTAACTAAAAACAAAAGTACCAAACTTATCAAGGTTATTTTTTAATATGTATTCATTACTAGGCATGTATCAGTCATATGATTCTTAAAAAAAATAAAAGAACTACTAGGCCCGTGCGAAAAAAATCGCACAGCATATTGTTAAGAGATCAAATGCCAAATTAATAAGAAAATAAAATAATGCAACGTATTTATAGATAAAGAAATCAATTGTTACTTTATCGATAAATATAATCGACACAGGAAACAAAAATTCATTAATGTTTGGAACCAACTTATTCGAATAGAAATATGTAAAAATTTTAAACAATTTGTATTTACGGAAGGAATTAAGTGTGTTGAAATATTTTTTTAAGGAGGAAGAAAGTTGAGATTTGTATTTCGCAGCTCGAAAGACACTCGAATACGAATTTTCATTTCGATCGAAAGATATATATTTTTTTCCTACTTATTTAATCTAGGGAGGGGGGAGCCTTCGATATTTTTTTGAAAATCATAAAAAGTGTTATAACTTCAATATTCTTCCACATATTCACACGAAATTTTGCAGAGATATTGCAACTACACGAAATGACACAAACTGTACCTTCCTAAATAATTTAGAACTTAAGTTATAAAATAAAAACCTGTTAGGAGTTTTTATTTATTTACTCTTTATAGAGGTGTTAAATCAAAAAGTTGTTTATACCGTCTTGTACAGCGATAATTCAGCTTTCTAACGGTTGTAGAAACATTAAATTAGGATAAAATACTTAGGAGTTATGAATGTTTTAGTTAAAAGCTGGCAAAAACATCATAACGAAAAGTGAAGTTGTTGAAAATTTTCTGCGAATTATTCACACGGGCCTACAAGTCTATATATATATATAAATGAATGCATGTCCGTCTGTCTGTCTGTTTGTTCTTTGTGCATTACTAAACCATTCATCCGATCGCCATGAAATTTTGGGAAGTTGTTCCGTACACTCCTGGGAAGGTTTCTGGCATAGTACTTCTGTCTTACAATAATTTTGTAAAAAAAATAAAAATGTAAATGTTTTTCTGTTCAAAGCCGCAAAAAAATATGTAGCTATAAACTGTAGCGCCAAAACGGCTTCACCGATTATAACGAAACTTGGCTAAAGTCTTCCCCTTGAAACCCTTTTAATTTATGTGTATAACATACTTTCCCGAAAACAAGTTGAAAAATGTTACGATCAATTCAATATTTTATTTGACGACAACTAAAAAAAGTACACAACTTTTGTCAAAGACATAATGAGCACAATTATTTGAAAGATTTCTGAATCGCTGACAAAATTAAAAAAAAAATCATCGAACTCGGACGGTTCGTTGCAGAGTTATAGAGTTTTAAACATTTACTGCTTTCTCTTCAGAAAAGGCCATTTCCTTTCGCTTCCTCACTATCGACGGCAGGCAAGCTTTTTTCTTATTCATTAATCGATAAGCAATTTATAATTACTACAGTAATTGAAATTATCGTTTGAAGAAGTTATATGATTCTCTAAAGAGTATCACATAAATATAGGTCAATCAATATATACGTTCTTTTTATTAATTTTATATTTTAGTTTTATAAGTTCAACTCAAGACTGTTTCAGATGATTATGAATTACGGCGTATTCACTCAGATAATTATGAATGTCCAATTCGAATCATGAGAAAAAATATCATTAGAATTAGTTTGAATTGAAGCCATTTTACAGACAAATTTGTTTCCCAACTTTTTAAAAATGACAGATGTTCTTTGCTTTTAATCTACTGTTATGTGCTTTCTATTTTCTTTCTTTTTCATTTTGACAGGCTAAGCCACAGCAGCGCGTGGCCGGGTAAAGCTAGTAATATATAATTACAATAACTATGGAATGGTAAACATTTCCCTTGCTAACAACATGGAGATTCGATTCATAGTTTTTGAGATATTTTAATCCATATGAAAAACTATTTCAATTGGTCGATTCCAGCCGACTTTGAATGAGCGTTACACATTGGAAATCTGACGACTCAATCTAATTCACTCTCCCGAATATAATACAAAAATATAAACATAATGATGTAGATAATTACAAGACACTGAGGAGGTATTTACTACGTGGCAGTTTATTTCGTACCCTGAGGAGCACTTGAAGACGGACACCACCTCCCGGTAATCTCCTCCCAAGTAGAGTAGAAAAATTAATGAGATCTCTAAGCGGACAGCTGGCGGTTCAATTTGGGGTCCAGTGCCCCCCCGGGATCCCGCTTTCTATTAGTGCCCTCACCGTCCAATTTCTGCCTCTCGAGCTCTCACGATCAAATATTCACCAAAGAGTGAGATGTGCTCAGGACGTTCATTATATCAGGAAACATTATAGTCCTGTCTAATTACCGTCTTCCACAAGCGGATTAATTTTTAGGAGAGGGGGCTTCAGCCCGAAAGCTTTTTTTATTCTCTATATATAACGATAATTATTTTGAAAGAAAAGGAAAGAAACTAACTACCTATAAGAAATGGTGTTTAAGTGGTTCTTAAAGTCCTATTAAATGTAATTAACTAACAATAATACTTTTTAGAGATAATGTTTTTCGTAATACATGGATATATTTTACCATTGTGGAGAGAGGAAGGGCTTCGATCTGAAAGCACCCCTCTCCCGAGGACGTAATTGTGGTGCACATTAAGAAGCGTAGTCTATAATCGGCGTGAATGGAAAAAAAAAAATCGCTGCAAATTATTTCACAATGGTTTATTATTTTCAAACAATTATACATCTAAAGTAACGTTACCTTCCTAGTTACAAAGAAAAATAAATAAATGGTGATTCCAATTATTGGGCTAAACTTAATCAATAGTAATATGACAAAAATAATAGCATTTCTTCAATAACACATTCAAAATTTAAAAACCAAACAAAGGATACAACACTTGGAGTAGAACATATAAAAAAAAACTGGAGACCATATCTTTACACCTAATTGTCTGATTTTAACGATTTTTTTTTTTTTTTTAGGAAACTCCGCAAACTTTTAAAAAACCATATAACCTAAAGTGTATAATTCTTGAGTTATTCGGAATTTAAATTAACACACCTCTAAATTTTTTTTTCCAGCTTCTTTTCGCTGAAGTATGTTATATAGATAAATTTAAAGGTAGTCGAGAAAATGAGTTTCATTGAAATCGGTACTTTTTTGGTCGATCACAATGTTTGATTATTGAAAATACTAAACCAACAATGAGTGATTTAAATAAGTATGAAGTATTACAGTAGTGTTATAGTAGTCGATTAATTAAAAAGTTATCCCTCGTCTATTTTTTTGGAAATTAACTAAGCATCGATTTCCATGTAAAAAAACTCTATAAATTCTATTCTACATTTTTTTTTTAAATTAAGACTTCTTCAGGTGCGTTTTCCACTATTTTTGTGAAGACTGAATTACATTGAGCAGTCAGATTCCGATGTGTAACGCTCGGGTAAGTCGGTTGTAGTCGACTACTTTAAGTTTTTTTTTCTCTGTAAATTCATTAAAATATCTCAAAAATTAAAAATGGGACCTAAATATTGTAAGTAAAGGGAATGTTCATCATTTGATCCTCTTTGTAATTAGCTAGTATTAAAATTTTTGTCTTAACGGGCTGCCGTGTTAGAGAAGCGAAATGAAAAAAAAGTATGCCGAAAATCAAATGATAACGAGATTTGTTAAAGAAATAGATTAAAATATTTTAGAAAGTAAAAATCGGACCTGCATACTGTAAGTGAGGTAATTGTTCCGCATTTCATCCTCTTTGTAATGAGATATTATTCCTAATTTATATTTCATATTATTAATCTTACTTTTTTGATGTTTTCACTTCTATCGTGTGGTCTAAAGAACATATTTTATTTTTATTTTTTTTTTGTTCAAACGATCCTAAATATTAAAACAATTGAATGAGAAAATAAGTTTATATCCTAAACCGGACTTTTCTTAAATTAATTCATGGATAAAAATTATGTGTGTTAATAAACATATTCAATATAAGTATAGTAAATTAAATTTTGGAGGGCGTCAGAAATTTTGAATGAAATTCATGAAAATTATGTTTTATCCTTATATTTCACCTCTAAAAATAAATAAAAATGTCTTAAAATATATGACTTGAGCTAATTAGTAAAACTCAGAAGTATTTTTATTAAAAAAATAAAATTTTCTGTATATATGGTATGAATGTGTTATATCATATATCACTATAATTAATCTTCACATGATAGATTGTTATATCTCTAAATAAAAAAATAAAAAAATAAATAAATAAATATTTATTTTAACATTTTATGCCATTTGCACTTGCGCTGCAGCGCATTTAGCATATAAAATAAATAAATAAGCAAATAAAATAAAAATAAAAATTATAAATATTCAAATTGAGAATGCAATAGTTTTTAAGACTTTTCAATATTGGTGTGCAGCAGAGCGGAACGAGTGACATGTTGCCGGATCTGCTATTGCAGTAGATCTGGCACCGTCGCACGACACTAGCATCGCTTTTAATTGATTTAGAAATCAAGATATTAGAAACCAATTTTGGAAGTCAATATATTACTTTCACTGTTTAAACTGAATATCTAGCTTTACATAAATGGCAAATAGCATCATTATGTGTTTTATTTCTAATTATTTACATAAAAATATACAACTATTTTATTATAAAATGAAAGTTACTAAGAAACAAGTTTTAGTTTAAGTTTGAACTCTGCATTTAGCGGCTACTTAATTTTTCTATGAGCTGTGAATTTTAAAATCAACAAACTTCTTTTAGTTTCATATCTAAAATTG